AGGACTTTTATTTTCAAGGAAAAATTTGACTGCACAAAGCGATGCACTTTCAAGGATTATAAGTACAATGAAGTGATTAATGTAGAGCCAACGTATATAAAAATGATCCATACTTAAAAAAGTCTATGGTGCATGAGAGTGATGCATACTTTAGGGTTTGATGTACATGAAAGTGATATACATAAAATAATGTGTATGAAAGTGATACCATATCACAAGTCTGGTTGTAATCTTATATCACAAGTCACAAGTAAGGTGGTAAGTAATCCTGATGATCAATAAAATCAGTTATTGGAAGACTTTTGGAAGGGCAGTGAGAATTATTGTTTGGTAGGTTATATTTTTCAAAAATTAGAGAAATAAAAACAAAATAAGTATCCCACGAAATCTAAATAAATAGTTTCTAAAGCTGTATTTATATTTAGTTAAAAATTTGTGGGAAACGTAAAGAAGTAAAACAAACCAAACAAATGATAGGGAGAAGAAAGGAAAAATAGTAAGTTATTATATATTAGGGTGTTTTAGTGGATGCAGAAGATAAGAAGCAAACAATAAGGGTTGACCAAATAGAAAGAGCGGGAGTGAAGTCATAAATTTTGTGACAGAGCCTTTTTGTAAAGCCGAAAGCTAGGCTCTGTATCTACTGTTCATATAATAATGAAGCAGAAAAAAAGGTTTGGAATTGGGGGAAACTTTTACAATAATTTAAATTACTCAATGTGATGGGCATGATAATAGTAATCTCTGTCTTGAAAAAAGAAAGAAAAAAAAGGAAGAAGGCACTCAAATGATAGAAGTTTGGTTGGTTTGTAATTATTATAGTACCCTATACATAGCAATAAAAATGGGTTAAGATTGAAGAAGTTGTTAGCTTTATTATTATTTTTTCATTTTGGCAAAGTACATAATATGGTATGTACTTTGACTACTGCTGGGTCCGTTTTATATTCTACAATGCTCAGGGAAAGAAATGCGAGGGAGACTGTTTTAATTTACATTAAAAACTATTCATGAAAATATATATAAAATAATGATTGGATAAATTTGAATTTAAACTAAAAAATAGCAATTACTTTTATGCGATCTAACTCCCTATCATTTAGAAAAAGGAAGATTAATTGATAGGTAATTTAAGGAAAGAGGTAGGGATGAGGGTTGGGTAAGAGGGAATACATATCTCATAAATGTACATTACAACATTACATTGAGAGAGAAAGAAAAGGAAAAAGAGAAGTGTAATAAGGTATAGAGGTAGCATGTTTGTTATAAAAGTATTAATAATAAGATATGTAGATGATGAAAGAGTAGGCCCAAAGAGGTTAGCAAAACGGTGCCGCTTCCTGCTACCTGCCTGCCACCCACATCCCCTCTTTCTATACGGACAAAAGAAGCGTTAAGAGAATGGGGGCCCACGTCCTACCTATTTTCATCTCTCTCTCTTCATTTATTCAGATCACGGTACACCAGCATGGCCACTCAAAACACTATTTATTATATTGGCCCATTTATTCTATTTATTTTGTCATTTTTTGCCTCTCTTTTTTGTTTCTTTTTCAATTATTTTCTTTTTCTTTTCCTTTTTCCTTTACACATTTCAATTATTTCTTTTATCATTAATACAAAACCACAAATTATTATTATTATTCTCCTTTCGTGTTTGTTGCACGTGTTTGGTATCACATACATACACATCTATAAGTTTTAGATTTTTTTTTCATTTAATTCCTATTATTTTAGAAATAATATTTAGTGATTAGATAGTGTAACGACTTACTTCAAAAACTTCAAAAATATGAACAGGCCAAATGCACATACAAAAAAATAAAAACAAAAACTTGTCTAACACAACTTTAAGAAAAAAAAAAAACAAGTAAATGAAAAAAAAAAGAGAGTAGGTATTGTCAACTATGGTATCAAAACATTGGCTCTCAAGGAAGATAGATTGTGAGAACTCATATCGATTGGAGAGAGGAACGGAGCATTTCTTATAAGAGTGTGTTTGAGAAGAACCCCGAAAGGGAAACCCCAAAGAGGACAAATATCTTTTAACAGTGGACTTTGAGCTATTATATATTCGGTTATGGAAGTGTGAAATGTGCCCCCAACCTAGTAGAAATCTCAAACCTTTGTACTATAAACCCATAAACCCGTCCCTGAGCGAGGGAACGAGGACCAAAGTTTTTACGATCGTGTCCCCCAAAGTTTGGCGACTTTATGATCTTGTGACATGGTCTTAAAGATCCAAAATTTTTACGAGATCGTGCCTCAACCCAAAACACCGGTCATTTATTACGTTAACAAAGCAAGCTAGTTGAGTCCTCAAACAGAAAGGTTGACTCAAAACACCGGTCATTCATTGGTAAGCAAAGCAAGCTACCTAAGTCCTTAAACAGAAAGGTTGAAAAATCTAAAACCAGAGATAACGCCTCCAAAAAGAAAAGGATGTGATGAGACTACAAGTAGATGGCTTAATAAGTTACTTACCACTTTCAAAATTAAACTCATAACTTCCAAAAATAGGAAAACAATAATCCCTGCTTATTTGAGTAAGTTTTAATTGGCAACTGTGTCATTCAAGTGTGTGGAAGTCAATTTTTAGATACTTTTTTGACTGTGTCATTCAAGTGTGTGGAAGTCAATTTTTAGATACTTTTTTGAAAGAACTTATTGTCAACCTCTTTCAGATATGAATCTATTTGATTCAGAGGGAAAAGCCCTTCCCTTTTTGGTCGGTTGTGGGCGAGGAGGGATTCGAACCCCCGACACCGTGGTTCGTAGCCACGTGCTCTAATCCTCTGAGCTACAGGCCCCACCCCGTCTCCACAGGATCTGTTCCCGGGGGTACCCTAAAAAAATGAACCATTCCTCTCCCCAGTCATTTGCCATTTCGGGTTAAGAAGATGTGAAAGCGCCTCTCTCTCTATAAGAACGGTGCGTTCCAAGGTGTGAAGTGAGAGAGAAAAGTGGGAGAGAAGGGGTTTTGAATAAGACAACCTTTTCATAGTATCTCAATTTCAATTCAAACATGGGTTTGATTCACACTCCATGTTCTGAGAAATATTTACCATCTTAACAGAGGAAAAAACGGAGTTTTTGTCTAAAGAAATGCCTTGAGAAAGGGCAGATGTATAGAACCTTTCAACAAGATAGTACTTTTTCAACTCTCTCAAAATGGAATCTATTCCAAACATATATGTCATGGTTCTTTACTTCGAGAGGGTACAAATATCTAAATTTTTCATTTTTAGATACTTTTTCAGACCTATTGCCGATACTAAGTATAAGTAGCAGCCAAAAATTTGTATCCATTTTTCGTGATATTATGCATGGATCAGTTATATCATGGTGAATTCTTCAGAAAAAATTGTGTCTTCCAAAATGGAACCTGATAAATGAGATTTCAAGTAAGTGTTTACATAATCCTCTTCTGTCCAAAGAAATGATTCATCGAAATAATGAGTCACCATCGATATCGACACATCTGAGATCGCCAAATGTTCGGGAGTTCCGCTATTCAATCATTTTCCTTCTTCTTGTTGCTGTATATCTCGTTCATACACATCTTCTCTTTGTTTCTCGAGCCTATAGTGAGTTACAGACAGAGTTCGAAAAGGTCAAATCTGTGATGATTCTATCATACATGATTGAGTTGCAAAAACTTCTGGATAGGTATCCCACACCTGAACTGAATTCTTTCTGGTTAAATTAGGAGATTCTAGAAGAAATATGGGGTTCTGCTTCTGGTGGCAACATGCTATGGGGTGGCGGTCCCGCTTATGGGGTCAAATCAATACGTTCGAAGAAGAAATATTGGAATATCAAACTCAATCCCATCAATCGAATCGCTTTTTCGAGAAATACGAGACATCTAAGTCATACAAGTAAAGAGATATATTCATTGATAAGAACAATAAAAAAATGGGAACGGTGATTGGATTGATGATACAAGTAAAGAGATATATTCATTGATAAGAACAATAAAAAAATGGGAACGGTGATTGAATTGATGATAAAATAGAATCATGGGTCTCGAACAGTGATTCGATTGATAATAAAGAAAGAGAATTCTTGGTTCAGTTCTCCACCTTAACGACAGAAAAAAGGATTGATCAAATTCTATTGAGTCTGACTCATAGTGATCATTTATCAAAGAATGACTCTGGTTATCAAATGATTGAACAACCGGGAGTAATTTACTTACGATACTTAGTTGACATTCATAAAAAGTATCTAATAAATTATGAGTTCAATACATCCTGTTTAGCAGAAAGATGGGACATTCCTTGCTCATTATCAGACAATCACTTATTCACAAACCTCGTGTGGGGCTAATAGTGAATTTCTCATCTCGGGGCTAATAGTGAATTTCTCATCTCATGGAAAACCCTTTTCGCTCTGCTTAGCCCTATCCCCCCGTAGGGGTATTTTAGTGATAGGTTTTATAGGAACTGGACGATCCTATTTGGTCAAATACCTAGCGACAAACTCCTATCTTCCTTTCATTACAGTATTTCTAAACAAGTTCCCGGATAACAACCCTAAGGGTTTTCTTATTGATGATAGTGACGATATGGATGATAGTGACAATATTGATGATAGTGGCGATATTGATGATAGTAGCGATATTGATGATAGTGACGATATCGACTGTGACCTTGATACGGAGCTGGAACTTCTAACTATGATGAATGCACCGCTAACTATGGATATAATCCCGGAAATAGACCGATTTTATATCACCCTTCAATTCGAATTAGCAAAAACAATGTCTCCTTGCATAACATTCAAGTTTAAATTTAATGGATGCTATTTTGATTCCTAGGGTTCAAAAAACTGATGTAAGCGAACAAACAGAGACATTATAAGTTCAACAAACTTTTTTAATAGAATATTGAGAACTCATCCAATATATTGATAAAATTGATAAAGCAAAACAAACAAACAGACAAAAAAAAAAAAAAAAAAAAAAAAAAAAAAAAAAAAAAAAAAAAAAAAAAAAAAAAAAAAAAAAAAAAAAAGTAGGTAGAAAATAACATGGCTACGACCGGCTTTTATTAAGGTGCTCGGGCGGGATAAATTGCATTGGTCTATCGCCTCAGGGTGTGCAGAATGTACTCGGCGTAAAGATCCCTGCAAATTATTCAATTCAAAATCTTGTAAAAACAAAGATTGCAATGAAACTAGAATGTAGAATTCATTGGATCTGACTGAAAGACTTGCATTGAGTACTGGATAGCTTCAAGAGCAACGCCTGAAGGTAAGAAATCGTTAACTGCCACCTCCTTGTTTTCGTTCTTTTTATCTGTGATTCAGTAGCGTTAAGAAATATGGGCTCATTCTCAAATAACATCTTCTCAATTGCTGAATTAGTCCACACAAAAAGAGTTTGAAAGGATACAGTCTTCAAAGAAGCGGCGGATCTCAGAGAGACGGTGGGGGGCAAGCTCCTTGATGTCATTGTAATGCTTGTATTCAGGATCATCAGCACAAACTGCAATGATCTTATCATCTTTCTCTCCCTGGTTCAAATCAAAAGCAACAATTTTATATTATTCGGGTAAATTAGGCTTTGTTCCTTTTCATTGCTTCAAAATTACCTGGTCAATCATGGGCATGAGTCCGATGGCCTTGGCTCGGAGGAAACAGCCAGGAAGAACTGGTTCCTATACCAACAAAAAACAATACCACTTTTTTTGTAAATCCTCACGGGTAATCGAGGCAGGAACAAAGGTAATGTTGAGTGAATAAAAAGCAGTAATGTTGAGTGGACAACCTGCATAAGAACTAGAACATCCATAGGATCGTTGTCTTCGCATAGTGTGCGGGGGATGAAGCCATAATTATGAGGATACACCACTGATGAATACAGAATCCTATCAACCTGTTCGTTATGGACATGGGGTAGTAACATTTTTGAGATCCAAAGCATTTCAAGTTTTAGAACATAAAATAGTGTGAATACCTTGATCAGCCCAGTCTTCTTGTCAAGTTCATATTTAACCTTGCTTCCCTTTGTAATCTCAACAACCTGTCGTTGAATGAATGAAGTGAAAATGAGTCCCAAACAACTGTAGTATAGTCGTTTCAAATTTCCATGAATTTTGAAGATAAAAAGGTGAGGGAAAATCATACACAGTTGAAAATCTTGGGAGCATCAGGTCCTGCACAGAAAAAGAGAGAAAACAAGCATGAGAATCATGTGTATAATCACAATGAACAAGGGTGGAACAAAAAGGTGAAGGTGAAGGTGAAGGTGAAGGTGAAGGTACCAATCTCAAGATCATGCCAAGGATGTGCAGCAACCGATCTTCTAGACAGAGAGGAAAGAATCCTCTCATTCAACTTGGGAGCTCGGTTCTTATCACCGTTGGCACTCTCAGCAGTGGTCATATCTAACAAAAACGCATAAAAGCAAAGAAAAAGAGAGTAAGGAAACTAAAAAATGGAAAGGGGGGGTGGGGGTTGTGGGTGGGTGTGGGGGAATGGTAAAAGAACAAAAGGGAGTACCTGAAAGATTGGTGAAGCAGAGAGCGAGAGAACAGGAAAAGATGGAACAGGAAAAGATGGAACAGGAAAAGATGGGGAAGCGTTGAGATGAAAATGGAGAATGAAGAATGAATTTATAGAGAAGAGGAAGAAGAGCGAGTCAATTGGGGAGAGAGGTGGCTGGTACATCCACGTTTCAAATTTGGTTGGTTTTCACACAAGGAACAGGGTTCTCTTACCTTTTTTCTTTTTTTACCATTTCTCCCAATTCTAATTACAGATACACAACATGTCATCTCAAATTCTCGAATCTTTCCTTATTAAAATACCTAGTAACCTATTTTATTATTCAACCAATTATTTTTCCTTATTTATTAAATTAATTTTGTGGTCGTTGTCATTAGTAAGCCCTACTATAAAGAAATTCAAAAGTTCATGTGTGGCCACTGCCCACGTTTATCATAAACAAATTTAAATCTTTTTAAATTTTTAATTTTAAAAAATCCACTTCCTTACAGATTTCATATCAGTAGTTGTTTGCATGTCTAATAAGGTTAGCAAAGTTATAGCTATTAATAGGAAGTAGTTTCATATGTTTTTTTGATTCCGTTAGTTTTGTTATTCTATTTTGCAAGGTTCTTATCCTTCAATAAAGATCAATCAATTCCCTTTGTATTATCAGTATTCAAATCGAGTGTTTGAGAGGAAAAACACTGAACGAATGGCTAGTGATTCTTTGCTACACCATGTGTTTCTAAATTTAATGGAGACTACGAACATTGGAGTTTGGTCATGGAAAATCTCTTGAAGAATATTGGAGTGTTATTCAATCTGGTTTCTGAAAACTATCATTCAAAAAGGAAATCGATGAAGCAAGGCTCAAAGATCTCAAAACAAAGAAAACTATCATTCAAAAAGATACTTCCAAGCAATGATTCAATGAAACTCAAGTATCAAGGAAATGCTAGAGTGAAGCAAGCCCAACTACAACGACTTCGCAGAACATTCAAAACTTTAGAGATGAAAGCAAGAGAAGGTGTTTTTGATTATTTTACAAGAGTTATGTCTACTGTTAATGACATGAGGAATTATGGAGAAGATATGTCGGATGTCAAAATTGTTGAGAAAATACTTCGAAGCCTCACCGATAAATTCAACTTCGTAGTATGCTAATGGAAGAATCCAAGGACATGACCAATTAATAGTAGATGAATTACAGGCATCTTTGTTTGTACATGAATAAAAGGTGATTGATAAAAAGAGTGAAGAGCAGGTGGAGAATGTACCCAAGGTATGGACAAGGAAGAGGCAAGAGGGACATTTTAGAGAGGAGAGGTTACTCTAGAGGACAGGTAAGAGGTAAATCTTTTGTGAACCGATCGGCCATCAACTGTTTTCGATGTGGAAAGCTAGGACATTACCAATTTGAATGTCCGGGCTTAGAAAAAGAAGTTGTCAATTATGCTGAATTTGACGAGGAGGACGGACTGAGCTTAGAAAAAGAAGTTGTCAATTATGCTGAATTTGATGAGGAGGACGGACTGCTATTGATGGCGTACACAAAGAAAAGTAAAGTTGAAAGAGAAGACATTTGGTTTTTCGATTCCGGGTGCTCAAATCATATGACAGGAGACAAAACATGGTTTGTTGAACTTGACGAAAGTTTCCAACACGTTGGAAAATAGCTCAAAATTGGCCGTTGAAGGAAGAGGCAGTGTCAGATTCAAAGTTGAAGGTATCACACAAACCGTGATAAATGTCTAACCGTGATAAATGTCTACTATTATGTCCCCAATCTCACCAACAATTTGTTAAGCATAGGGCAACTATAGGAGAAGCGTTTGGTGTTCTTAATCAAAAAAGAAACCTGCATAGTCTATCATCAACAAAGGGGCCTGATAGTGAACATACAAATGATGGCAAATCGCATATTCTTCGTTCATGCAAAGATAAAGTCATTGGTTGACAAATGTTTGAAAATAGAAGATGAAGACTTGGAGGCTCTGTGACACAAGAGGTATGGGCATTTGAATAGTAAATCTATTCAAATCATGCATCAAAAACAAATGATGGGCATTTGAATAGTAAATCTATTCAAATCATGCATCAAAAACAAATGAGGTAAGGATTACCCAAATTAAAGGAAACTGTCAAAGTTGGCACAGTTTGCAATGTTCGGAAAGAAAAGCAAATATGTTGGCTTAAGGGAATTCTGAAGGAGCTAGGTGTTCTAAGCAGCGAGTACATCGATATCATGTGTGATAGTAATTCAGCAATCAAATTGTCGAAGAACCCAGTTATGCATCAAAGGACAAAACATATTGATGTCAGGTATCATTACTTGCGTAATTTTTCAACTAATGGGATTGTGAGGTTAGTGTTTTGCGAAATGGAAGGTCAAGTGACAGACATAATGACTAAACCAATTAAGCTAGATAAATTTGTGAAATTATAGACATTCTTGGAGTTGGACAACTTGAGTAAACTGTTGCAGTTTCAGGAAGAATTTGTTGGAGTTTCTGACTTGGTATGAAACGTTTAATTAATAGAGCTAATTAATAGGAAGTAGTTTCATATTTGTAGTAGTAGTTTTATATTTGTTTTCAAATAGGTAATTTATAGGAGTTATTTGTTTTTTTTTATTCGGTTAGTTTAATTTGATTCGGTTGGTTTTGTTATTATGGTTTGTACGGCTATTTGTTATCCTTCAATAAACATCAATCAATTCCTTTTAATAATGTCTATTCTTTCCACAGGCAAAATCAACTAATTCTTTATCTGCATTCTCACTCATACCTTTTCAAATCTCTCTCTCCGTTCCTTGTCCTATAAAAATTATGTGGAATTGTATTTAAAGAAGGAAGTTAGATTTCATGTTACCTCCATGTTTTATTTTCAAATTGATGCTTAGATAGAGCATTTAAACCATGTTCTAGAAATATAAGATCCGAAACATGGGATTGTATTAGTATTACCAACTTATTTTTAAAAAAGAGTATAGTATTCCACCTAAATATTACAACCATAGTCTCAAAACTTTACCTAATATAATTATTTACTTCCAAACTTTATTGTTCCGACCTTTTACAAACTTTGGACTTCTAGCTAAAATAAAGTATAATTTTGGTTGTTGTAATGTATAAGTCCTATTATACTATGGGGTCCAAGTATTTAATGGACATTTTCTCCTTGTTGAGCATATTTGAAATTGCATGTTAAATTATATGCTAGATTCATATGAATATTGGTATGGATTATGTAGGTTGAGTTGATTGATAAAAGTATCTCTAAGAAGCTTCATGAACGTTTAGATTATGTTTTCAATGTTCTACGTGATTGATAAAATATGTTCCTAGTGCAGCATCCATGAAACAAAATAAGATCAAAGTTCCAAAGCTATGACCGTTTATATGCTGACTTCACTATGTTTCCAGTAGAGTGTGTTAACAGTCATGGGATTCTTGAACTAGGCCCGAAGTTTTTAACGCCAAAAAAAAAAAACGTGTGATAACTTGCTAGATTATGATGGGATAAGAGCATACAAATAGGATGTTTACTTAATATATTTTTATACCCCCTCATTTCCTTTTTTTCGTGTTCGCACGTTATTGGTCAAAGTGGAAAAGCGTTTGAGAGTTGTACAATCATAGAAGGATTGTTCCAGAGGGCCGATACGTCTTTGTATTTTGAGTCATTTACATTTTAATTTATAAATGTATCCCGAACCCATTTTCTGTTTGTAATCAAATAGATCAGCACCGTTTCATAATTGAATTTTATTTTGTCTATAATTTTGATGTTATAGGTCTTAATTTGAATTTAATTTTAAATTTTATGCCATTTTCTTATTTAACTTTTATGTTTGAGTTTCGAAATTTTGGCATAACAAAATATCTCCAGACTCATTTCTTGCTCTGTTTGAGATGGATCCATACAATGTTTTGGATTGATGTTTCTTGGGCAACGATCCCTTGAAATTAGTTTAAATCAGATGCTATAGATTTATTATATTGTATTATATTAAATTTTCTATATAAACAAACAAACAGTTGACTTTATTTAAGGCAAACAGGTGGTTGAATTAAAAATAAAAATATTTTATTTGAACTTGGCGTGGGGAGCAAGCGTTCAATGCAGAGCTAACAAATTCACTTCCCATGGTTATATAAACTAACCAAAATATGGTTCCATTTAATCCGACTAAAGCTACCATTTTCTGCCATTAACTGGGCCCATTTGTAGCACCCATTGTTTTGATTTTGAGGTATCACACGTCTTCTCTCTTTTTCTTGCTCTGTTTTTCCCCTGTAGTTTCAGTAGTTAGGAAAATTTTCGATTGCAACAATAAATTTAATGTGTAAGTTTAGAATTGGATGCATTTTCATTCCGCGTTTTTCAATGGCTTTTTCCTAGCTCGAGGTTGTTTTTGAATTAGGCAAAGAAAAGCGGCATGGAAGAAGGTGAATTATATTGTAAAGAGAAGAAGGTGAGGGAGGAGGGATCAGAAGTTGCTGGTGAAGTGGCGATATTAGATTATTCTGATGATGAACGCCAATTGTTCGATGAAATGCGTGTTCGAGGTCGGCATTTTTATTTTGCCAAGGTTTTGCCAATTGAGAACCCAAAGATGGATGCCATGATTAAGAAGGCTGAAGAGACGATTGAGAAGATCAATCGAGATCAAGTTGTGATGGCCCAAAAGATAAGGGAAAGGATGGTATGTGAAAAGAACCCTAGTTTTTTTCATTTTAGAACATTGTAGTTAAGTCTCCTGGTTTGGCACTTGCTTATGTGAGCTCTGAATAATGGAGGATTGGAATGAATTTTGTTCATAGATGGATCGTGACGCACTGCGCTCGAAATTGAACCGGATGAATTTTGGTAATTATGAACTCGCCCTAAAATGGAAGAGAAATAGTTTGGACTTCCTGTATCCCTCTCTAGACAAACTGACTTTTGCAAACAATGCATATAAAGGGAAATCGGTTAACTCGTGCTTGTCGGTAGGGGAAATTGATAAGCAAGTATGGTCAATTGAACTCTTTCTTGCGTATTTTTGCAACACTTCCGATCTTCTTCATCTTATGCAGTTTATTTATCGTTGTGTGACCAGAAACTGTGTTTCTTGATGGTACATGGCTGTAAAAACATGGGTGACGAGAGAAAGCTATTAAGGGAAGTCAATGCAATGCAAGGGGAGGATGGTGGCATGACATTAGATGAACTCCGTGCTCCTGTAATATTCAAACTTGAGCGTCAATACAATATTCAATTTTACTTGTCGTTCTTAATGTCATGACCATTACTACTTGATGAATTATCATCTCTCTAAAGCTTCTGCGTTCTCATGAATAGATTCAACACTTGCAACAACGATTGTCCATCAACTATGTGGCGCATACAGAAATCGATGAAAATGCTCGTAGTGAAGTCATTCTCAATGCCGAAAAGCAACATGAAATTATTAGGGAGACAGCATTGGCTAATGCTGTAGTGAATGGAAAATTGTGGAACTCCCTTGGCTCGAAAAAGTCCATTCAACAGCAAGTAAGAGCCAAAACTAAAATTTAGGAGGGTTCTTTGACTGTATAGCTTACAACTAAAAAAATCTCGATGTTTTTGTACGTTGAAAGGTTCAGGAACTCAACAATAGATCATGTGAACTAAGGGAAAGACAGAGGGAAGTAAATGTCAAAGTTAGGAAAGTAAATAAAGAAGTTAAGATGATAGAAAAAGATATACGTTCTCTACAAAAGCTCTTCACGTATGCAAATCGCAAAAAGGACGAGGCATACAACACCATTCTTAAACTGAAGAGGCAGTACGGGGAGGAGGTACCTATGATTACAAGCTCTAAATACTTTTATTGCATACTTATTTATTTCGTTTGATGTGAGTTCAGTTGTACTGATATATATTGTGGCATTTCGTGTTAGAATGCTTCCTACTACCAATATCGTTCCCTCATGCAGAAGGTCCAAGCACTTGTTAAGAAAAAAGATACCGCAGCCATTGAAGAATTATCTCAAACACAGGTGTTTCCTATATCCCTTGTCTGTTTATGAAGTTGTAGGGGGTTATTGTGTTTTTGTCAACAACTTTTGAAAGCTGATTTTTCCATTACAACCAGGTTGAAAAGTTCATGCAACAGTGGAACAATAACCTAGATTTCAGAAACGATTACAAAAAGAGAGCTATCCCGCTTCTAAACAACCGTCATCTTGGCGTGGATGGGAGTATGATCACCGACCAGAAGGCAGAGGTTAAGGACTCTAAAAAGGCTCCTAAACCAGAGGCGCTTTCTAAAGCTAGATTGAAATGGTTGATGAAAGATCCTGAAGATCCCTCCGAACTTCTTTTTCGGTGAAACTAAAGCGATGAACCCCTTTGCACATATGCTTCAAGTTTCAACTTTGATCCATTTATTCCTTAAAATTCTCCTTTTATTGAACAACATTTCTCCCGCATCATGTTCAGAAGTGTTTTACAAAGCTAGTTTTTCTGTGAAGTCATTTCCCCACTTGGAACTTTTGTTTGGAAGCCTATGAATTCAAAAAAAAACCAAACCAAACCTTGCTATGTTGATGTTCCTTTGTGACATGAATGTGCCACCTACTGTAGCAGAATGAAGATTGTCCCTCCATATTAACTTGCTAGGGAAATCATTCATATGTTTTCTTATATAAATCTCATAGAAAATCACAAGCACAGCTCTAAAAGGAAAGATACGACAGATAGGATTCACATTGAATTTAGAATTAAGTTAGTTAATTATGTAATTTTATTTTGAAAAAATAAAAATAAATAAATGAGGCATCATTGGAAGAGAGAGAGAGAGAGAGAGAGAGAGAGAGAAGGGTTCGGAAGGTCACCATCAGAGATTGGTTCTACCAAATCACAATGCTTAATTAGTAAGCAAAAATCCAACTTCCCATTTAACAAAAAGATATTATTATAAACTCAATATGCATTTTCTTTTCCATTTTCCTTCTCAATTTCTGACCAGCCAAACATATTGAACTAAAAAAATATTAAAAAAAAAAAAAAAGGCATATTTCTCAAAAGTTGATCAAAGATGGGACCGTACCTATATATTCCATTTGCCACATAACATCTACCATACTTTTTTTTTTCATTATTAATAACATTGGAATTTAATCTCTCTCATTTTGGGTCTCAAAAAAGAATAATAATAAAGAAAAGAAGTGGGAAAATATCAAAATATTCTCACTTTTTTTTTTCTGAATTTCTAATTTGGACCCCAAAGACTCCATAGACGAGAATTAAATAACCCTAACACGTCCGGCCATACCTTCCGGGCCAAACCCTTGTGGTTGCTCGGCGGCGACGAAGGGACAACCACCAGCGCAGCCCGCGCCTCAGTCCGTGGCAGTTCTCCGCTTCCCTCTGTCGCTTCAACACCGCCACTCACAGACGTCGCTGGAGCCACAGAACCGTCATCAATCGCCAACGGAAGAACTTCAGGCAACGGCGGCGGCGACAGAGGAGCAACATCGACAGCCTTCTCCGATGATCGGCGGCCGATTTTGTCCTTCCTCTTGCCTTTGACGTTCTTGCCGGATTTTTCTCCGTTGGCCAATTGCTCTTCGAAAGCCTCAATGGCCTGATGAATCAGCTCGCCATTCGGCGACGAGTTCCATCGGTTCCAGTAACTCATATAACAGTCAAAGCAACTAAGAGACGGCGGCGCGTGAACACACACGCTACCAGAATTGGCTTGGGGAGCACCGGATTTCTTCGAACCTCTCTTGGAAAATTTATTTTCCGATAGGGAAGACGACGGCGTTGACGTCTCCATGGATCTTCTCATCATGAAAGCCAAAACCTCTCGATCGTCGATGGTCAGAACCGTGAGCAGAGCCAAAATCGCCGCCGGAAGATAGTTGAAGACATCAAAGAAGTCCCCATCGGAAGAAGAGGAAGAAGAGGAAGAAGAAGAAGAAGAAGAAGAAGAAGGAGATGGGTGGACTTTACCTTTGTTCTTTATTTTCATGGCGGCCACTTTTTTTTTTTTTTTTTTTTTTTTTTTTTTTTTTTTTTTTTTTTTTTTTTTTTTTTTTTTTTTTTTTTTTTTTCTTTTGGAGGGTTCCTGGACACAAACGAAATGGGTTTTCGTATCTCTGGCTTTAACCTTCTAAGCTTCAAGGAAAATGGTGGGTTTTAGAGAGATCGACAATGGAAGAGGGAAAAAATAGTTTTTTGATTTTGTTTGTTCGGACTTTAATTTACTTGGAAATTAAGGCAGAAGAGAGAGAGAGAGAGAGAGAGAGAGAGAGTGAGGTCGCCGGTCATTGTTTTTTACTACACTATTTGGTTAATTTAGAAATTTGCAAATTCGACTTTAAAAAATTTGGTTCCCTTCAGTTTTAATAAACCTTTGAAAACCAAGAAATGTGGGACGATATCTGGATGAAAAGTGAGATTTAGTTCAAGAGAGTATGTTTATATGCTTGGGTGTTCCCTTAGGATGGTAGTGGTTGATTTTTCTTTCTATATTATTATCGATCACTTCTGTTGTGTTGATTTTGAGAACTGCAGGCGGCCTTGTGGATATGAGATGCTTGGAAGAACCGAGGGAAGGAGAGAATGGGATGTTTTAGTTCTTTTTCTTTCTTTTTACCACTTCATTTTGGGCTCTTTCTTCGCCAAACTTTATATTACAAGCGCCCCAAATACACTTGAAGTTGGAAAACAAAATACTTCCCAATACACCCAATCATAATTTTGATATATAACATGATGTAAGCTATAAATATATCTCTATAGCATATAAACTTTAGACTACAAATTCTTAAACATAAGAGAGGATATAGATAGGCACATGCTTGGGGAGAATCTTTACTTTGATTATTTAAGAATCTTCCAAAATAAAAGTATGTAAATGAAACCATACCATTTTTGTAAAAGCTTGCAAACGCCCAACTTCTTTGAAGCTTCCAGATTGGGAGGATTCATTAATTTAGTAACCATCTCTTTTTTCAAACCTATTTTTAAATAGTATTTCAAATTAAGCAAACATTTGGAAAATGTCTTAAAACCCGTTGAATCACTTGTAAACTAGATTGGTTTTAGCCTTTAGGCAAGTACAGTATTTATGAACATGTGAAACCAGAAGAGGTTTTGCTTATAAATTAGATTCCAATTTAAATATTTCAAACACTCAAAACCAATAACTCTCCATTGTGGAAAGTGTCCAGCCCATTATATTTATTTTAGTAAAGATAACTGATTTTAGGATAACGAGATCTACCTATTTTAGGAAAATTAGTTAGATTTAGATTTAGATCTGTTAGATTTAGATTGGTTAGATTTAAATTTAGATTTGTTAGGTCTAGAGAGTTGGCACTAGTATAATAAGTCGGTTATTCATACAAGAAATCCAAAAAGTATTCTATATAGTGTTCTTGTATTCTCTTCTCGATTGGTCTTAATAAAGACTGCGAGTGTTTCCCACAGAGAGTTGTGTTCAACAATTGGTATCAGAGGAAGGTTAGTATATGTTATCTGATCTTTTGAAATTCTTAGTATGCTCTATGGTTGCAGCTCTATCTGATCTTCCTCAGAAACGATTTCTTGAGATTAGTAGTGAGTGAGTTTATTTTGTGTCGTGAGTAGTCTGTGACTCTGCAAGTCTTGTGTCGAAAGAGCTTGTTTGGTATCCAACACGATGGGTGATTTCCAAATCGTTGGAGGAATCAAGAAACTCAACAACTACAACACGTGGGCAATATGCATGATATCCTATTTGCAAGGACAAGATCTTTGGGAGATCGTTGGCGGGTGTGAAATTATGCCGCCAGAGGAGGATTCTAACGGCACCTTGCGGAAATGGAGAATCAAAGCATGCAAAGCAATGTTTTCCTTGAAGACCACAATCGGAGAAGAGATGTTAGAACATATTTGGGATGACAAGACACCGAAAGAAGCATGGGACACATTCGTGATGTTGTTCTCAAAGAAGAACGATACAAGGCTACAACTTCTGAAGAATGAGTTGTTGTCAATTTCACAACGTGACATGACAATTGCTCAGTACTTTCACAAGGTCAAATCGATCTGTCGGGAGATTACTGAACTAGACCCGAAGTCTGTCATTGTAGAATCTCGAATGAAGAGGATTATAATCCATGGATTGCGACCGAAATACAGAAGCTTTATTACTGCTGTACAAGGATGACCCACCCAACCATCACTTGTAGAGTTCGAAAATTTATTAGCTAGCCAAGAAGTCATGGCTAAACAAATGGAAGGCATCACATGGGAGGGTGAAGAAGAAGCACTCTACACAACTGAAAGTCGAAGCAATAATAGGTCGTCTACCAAACGTGGATACAATGGTGACAAAAGAAGAAGTCACAAAGGAACTTCACAACCCGAGAGAGCTCAGAAGAACGACAACAAGAGTTTCCAAGGAAAGAGATTTAAAGGTATTTGCTATGATTGCGGGAAAAAGAGCCACATGTCTAGAGATTGTTGGTCCAGGAAAAAGTCGGTTGAAAGCAATGTAGCAATATCCAAAAAGAAGATAGAGGATGAATGGGATGCAGAGGTACTATGTCCAATAGTAGAAGACGAGTTAGCACTCATGGCAATGATGAAAGAGCATATCGATTACGAGGATGACTGGATCATTGATTCAAGATGCTTAAACCACATGATTGACGATCAAAGCGGTGCAATGGAAGAGGGGTGGCCCTCATAGAAGAAAGAATTACCAGGCCTTGAGCTAACTAAAGAAATTATTTTATAGAACACAGAGGAGCAAACGGAAAAAATTCTTTTACAAAACACAAAGGAGCAAACTGAAGAGATTCTTCCACAAAAGACGGGGAGCAAATTGTACACATTTTCTTAAGTGCTGATGTGCCTGAAGATTCAAGTGTCACTAATGTTGGTGAGCAAGAAGTGACTCAACCAAGCGAGCCTAGTGAAAATGAAATGACACCTCAACAACTCAGACATTCAGAAATAATCCTAAAGGCAAATCCAGAGTATGTCAACGCAGTAGAAGACGAAGTTAATGAGCCGGAGACATATGAAGAAGCATCACAAAACTCAACTTGGCAGGAAGCGATGGAGGAAGAAACTATAGCCCTGGAACAAAATCAAACCTGGGAATTAGTACCAAGACCAAGAGATACCAAACTCATATCTTACAAGTGGGCTTACTAAATAATGTGTACCCCAGATGGATCAATCGTGAGATACAAAGCTCAGACTATAGATGCAGGGTTCTTTCAAGAATATGGACTAGACTATGATGAAACATTTAATCCAGTGGCAAAGATCATTATCGTACAAGTTCCTCCAGTACTTACGGTAAATAAAGATTGTAAATTATGGCAGATGGATATGAATAATGCTTTCTTGCATGGAGAGTTAAACAGAGAGCTCTACATGGACCAACCGAAGAAATTTGAAAATGAAGTTGGAGTCATTGATCAATATATGCAAAATCCGAAGAAGCCTCATTTGGATGCGGCTCGACGGACCTTGAGATATGTCAAATGTACAATCAATTACGATCGTTTATACAAAAGAAGCGAAGACTGGAAGCTAGCTGGATATTGTGATGTCGACTATGCAGGAGACCACGATACCCGAAGATCAATCATTGGGTATGCGTTCAAGCTCGGTTCGAGAATAATTTTTTGGTGTAACAAAAGACAACTAACAATATCATTGTCAACTAAAGAAGCAGAGTACAGAGCAACAGCTGGAGCAGCTCAGGAAAATACATGGTTAAAACTTTTGATGGAAGATTGGCACCAGAAAATTGAGTATCCAATACTACTTCATTGGAACAATCAATCTGCGATTCGCCTAGCAGAAAATTCGGTGTTTTATGTTAGAACAAAGCATGTGGAGGTGCACTACCATTTCATTAGAGAGAAGGTTCTAAAGAAAGAAATCGAGATGCAGCAGATCAAGATAGATGACCAAGTGGCAGACTTGTTTACAAAAGGGCTTAATATTGGCAAACATGAGAGTTTTCGCTGTCAGCTCAACATGGTGCAGCGAATGAGGACTAGTGATGAAGGGGTGTGTTGAAATATCATCACTAACCCAATAGAGTCAAGCTCAATAATTGTACGAGTATTGTATATTTATTTTATTAGAGATGTTAGAAAAGATATGTGATTTTAGGAGAAAGATCCAGATATTTTAGGAAAAAGATTTGTTATGTCTAGATTGGTTAGGCTCTAGTATATACACCCTCACTCTACCTAGGTTATTCATCCAAGAAATCCAAAAAATATTCTACACAGTCTTATGTATTCTCTTCTCGATTGGTCTTAATAAAGAGTGCGAGTGTTTCTATGACCTGATCTGAACCTATTTATTCACCGTAAACTCGGTAAACTCAATGACCACCAAGAGTTGTATTCAGAGAAAGCATGGGAAGAATGGAGGTTAAAACCCAGAAAAGAAGGAAAATAAGAAGTTAAAAGAAAAGGGAAAAGGAAATTATAATTTTATTCTTTATGCTCCTTTAACTTTTCAAAAAGTTTACCACACAATTATTAAAGTGTAGCATTGTTTGAATCCCACCACCAAAAGATCTTATTGGCTACTTTGTGCATAAGGAACCCAAAATTTCCAGAATTCAAAGCACCAATCTTTATTGCACAATTAATGAGTCCCAACTAACAACTCTGGCTTTGGTTTTATTTTATTTTATTTTATTTTTTCCTTCTAGTTCTGGTCTTATAATGATAATGATCAAAGATTGAAGTATTTTAATTCAAAGAATTTGAATGGATGCCCAACAAAAAGAAGGCCTCCATCTTATAAACTCGTAAAGAAAACATACTGAAGACGTTTAAATTTGTATTCTCATATTTATTTATTGTATAAACAAAGTTTGTTGTTTGATGATTTGTAAATATGAAGTAGCATGTACAACAAAAATGTAGATGTATTTAATTAGGGATTTAACAAATCCAATACCTAGAAATAAGGAAACCCAGTTACCAAATATAAATGGGCCACTTTAACCCAATCTTCACAAAACCGATTCCCAAGTTTTGATAAAGCTATAAAAATAAAATAAAATTAAAATGAAGAAAAGAAAAGGGGATATCCTCAATGCTGGCAAGCTTTTTGTAACATTCAAAGGCTTCCTCTACAATCTCAGTCTTCACTCTCATCATCTTCATCTATAGGTATCCATTTCCCCCGGCTATGCTTTGGGTCTTCACCCCAAGATGTTTGTTGTTCCTCGTCAGTGTCAGTGTCATCTGCATCGTGGGAGAACAAAAGCTGGGTGCTACAAAATCATCTTTCTTTTTCTTGCTCTTCCTTTTCTTCCTCCTTTTGCCCAATCAATAGCCTCAGAGGGGGGGCACCCTGGAGGGCGTCTCAACCGTGCGGATGGGAGTGAAAAGGAGAAGGAAAGGGCAATAAAGAGTTTAACAAACCAGCACAGGCCTTCATTCCAAGAGAAGACTTACCAACCAGAGGAAGCTTGAAGCTACGGATTGTTTGTAAATGAAAATAAATTTAGAATTATTATTATTATGATCGGAGAATACCAAAAAAGACACTACAATGATGCATGAAATTCAAGTTGGAACAGACTTAGAAACTACTGGGAAACAAAGAAGACAGAGAAAGAATGTAATTTTGATTCCCAGTAGGAAAGGACAATTATTTCATGAAACAAAGCCTCCTCCTCCTCCTCCTCAGACTCGTGCTGCAGTAAAAACACCGCCTTTAAAAACCAATTCAACAATAATTTTATTTGTTTAAAAAAAAAATTAAAAAAAAAAAAAAGGAAATGTTGGAAAAGGGTGGGTGATATGTCAATGGCAAAGTTTTTAAGGGAAGGGACCCATAGGTGTTCCCTCGGTGGCCAACACAAGATGTGAAACCATGGAAGATAAGGACAAATGTTAGCCACCTACCCATTATTATCATCTCTTTTTTTTTTTCTTTTCTTCTTTCCAAATGAAAAATTTCCCCTAAAACTTCCAATTTTCAAGTATGAAAGCAATAAAAGTGTTGTGGAAATTTGTTGCCCAAATAAGCTGACATTTCTTTGTAATGTGTTTTGTCGCATTACCAATCACCATCAAAATTCCAAGGAAAAGAAAGAAACCCAACGTTAAAGCACTTTTATCAAAACATTAATACTTCAATTAATAAATAATTATATCATCTGTAGAATTCAAATTCATCTAAAAAAAACAACCAAAATTCTTGTAAAACCTTATCTACCTCAATATGTGTATGCACTTCACACTCACAAAAATAATACACCACACATGTGCCTATAATATTTCAACCATCAACTCTCTTAACTTTTCCATAAAGCATGACCCAAAAAAAAACATATATCATTATTAAAAGGAAATTTTCTTATCTAAATTTCTATAATAAAGTTAATTTGTAATTATCCTCTCTCTAGGAGAATGATTAAGAGAAAAGTTTGAGTGTGGCCATCTTAAAATCGTAGTCAAAAGGATGGGAATGATTAAAAACAAGTTCAAGTGGCATCATTTGTAAGAGTTCAAACCCACTCTCATCATCCCTGATAGATACATTTTAAAATCGTGAGGCTGACAATATCTATTAGCACAAAATATGTTTCGTTCTCCTCTCTAATTGACGTGGGATCTCGCACAATTTATCCTAAAAATAACGAAAACATATATGAAACACAAAGCTATTTTGAAAATATTTTGGGTATTTATCCTTCTATCACAATAATTATTCAGAATTAAAAATTGTGAAAATGGAGATATGTCGGGGGTAATTGACATGGTAGGAGGAGTAGGAGGAGCAGTGGAGTATGAAATTTGAATTGTTGAAGTTGATGCTGAGTTAACATGGTTACATTAAAATTTCCTACTAATTGCGAAACTTGAAAATAAACTAAATAATTAAAATGTTAAAAAAAATTGGATTACATAATGCTTCATTTATGAGGGCTTTAAGTTAAAACTTCTTTGAAAGTCTCATTTTTCCCTTATATCTTTTCCTCCCAAGATATTCAAAAATCACATTCTTTGATCCAAAAAAAAAAAATGCATTATTTGATCCAAAATAAATGCATGAAGAGAAGGGGGGAAAGGGGGGGGGAAAAGCTCAGCAATTCAATGAATTAGTGGCACAAAATGAGTAAGGGTTTTAAAAACTAGGAAACAATATGATTGGCAAGGAGATTTGGTTTGGTAAGAGATGGTATCATAATGAACCAACATGTCAACTAATAATTGCCACTATAGCTTATGAGAATCACCAATTCCACACATTTTTCGATTACCCAAAAACATTTCATGCCCTAAAAAAGTTATTGCACCCAAAAGAAAAAACTTATAATTTCTTATTTAAACCACATAAATTTGTTGATGGTTAGAGAAGGGGAAGTGCTGCAAGATGTGATAAGCATGAAGGAGAAGGAGGAGTAAATAAACACAGTTCATAACCCTGTAAGCAGTTAAATTCAGATTACAGTTAATTGTAATACGAGTGAATAGGCAACACCAGAAACACTAAAATTTCATCCACTTTTGGTTTGGACTTTATGACAAGATGAGATGTGAAGCAAGCTGTAATGCATTTAAAAGCACACAGTGGAAGGTCGAAATCCCCATTTTGAGTCAAAAAATAAAAAGAAAAGAGTGAGCCAAGTCAGCTTCTTCAAACAACTCAATCATGGAGGAGGAGGACCCATTTTCTTTTCTGACTCTCTCTCTCTTTCTCCTCTCCTCCTCCCATAAACCCCATTAGTCCACACAGAGGAACCCACCTTTGTTTGGGTCCTCCCCCCGCCCCCCCATCCCCACACCCATTAGCAGACATGGCAGAGCACAACAACAAGAAGCCATCACCACCAGCATCAACTCCAACAACAATAACTCCACCACCACCAGCATCAGCAGATATCAAAGACTTCAATATCATAATTGCATCCAAAGATGAAAGCAAACCCCACCAACAATTGGCTCCTAAACGCACCTCCAACAAAGATCGTCACAAGAAAGTCGATGGCCGTGGCCGCAGGATCCGCATGCCTGCCCTCTGCGCCGCCCGCGTCTTTCAATTGACTCGCGAATTGGGCCATAAAACCGATGGGGAGACCATTCAGTGGCTTCTACAGCAGGCCGAGCCGTCCATCATCGCCGCTACTGGCTCCGGTACTATCCCCGCCTCCGCCCTCCACGCTGCAGGCGTCTCCGTCTCCGACCAAGAAACCTCCATCTCCGCTGCCCTAACCCCCAAACTCGATGGCGTCGCCAGGCCGAATTGGGCGATGATGGGAGCTAATTTGAACAGATCTCACATGGCGACGGCCGGATTCTGGCCTTCTCTGGGAGGGATCGGGACGGGTTTCGTGAGCGAGAATTCGGGTTCGATTATGCCGAAATTCGGGTTCCATGGATTCGAATTTCAGGGGATGAATTTGGGATCGATGAATTTCCCGACGATAATCGGGAATCAGCATCAGCAGCATGTACCGGGGCTGGAGCTTGGGCTTTCGCAGGAGGGAAATAATCTGAGAGGGATGTTGAATCCGCCATCGTATTCGCAAATTTATCACCAAATAGAGCAAAATCGGGACTCCTCTGGGGGCGGCTCATTGGAGCAGGACCAAGCTCCTGAAAAGGACGATTCCGAACAATCGAGGTGATGATTATTGAAGAAGACGACAGGGTTTGGGATTTGTAGGTCTAAAATAGCACTTAAATTGTGGAAGGAAGGAGACACCAAAATGAGCACGACCAAGATTAAGGATTGCTTCATATTTGCGGTGTGTTTTTTTTTTTAGTGTTGTTCAAATTCAGGTAATTTTTTCTTTTTTCCTTATTTTATTCTCTTTTGTAATTTTAGTCTTCATAAATTGTCGAATTGTTCTTGTGTTATTTGAACAAAAATTGAGTGAAAATGATTCATGATTTTATTTTTATGAAGGTTTTAAAAGGCAAATATACTCTTTGAATTTTTAGAAGAACTAGCAACACCTTGGTTTTAAGATCAAAATGAAAACCCGGAATTTGATGGGTTTATGGATAATCTATTCTGGAGCGTAAAAATAAGGTTTTTTAAAAAAAAGGGGGAAAAGATGGTTTTGATTTTAGGGTTTGATTTGCAACATGCAGGTGGGGTTTGAGGTGAAGTTTGAGGAGAAGAGTGGTTTGGTTGCAAGATTGATTTGACTTTCATTTCTTGAATATTGAGGTGTGTGTTTTTTATATAAATAATTTGTAGAAAAAAATGATTGTATTATTAGTAATTTTATGAAGCGGATATGAAATTTGAACCATGATTGCATTTGATGCATGATAACAACTTATCCATGCCAAAGTACCAATTCCATCCATCTCTATACTTGTTTAATAATTTCACCAATAAACCACACACATACCTATGATTGCAGTTTTAATTTTTGTAAATTTCCACCATCATCATTGGCATCAAAGTACTATTAATTTTCAAAATACAAACTATGCCATAATTTTAAAAATACAAACATTGCATAATTGTAATTGTTCACTGGCTAAGCCCACAATCCACAGGCCCATTTTTTCCAACCCAATACCCTCTATATCCACTCAACAATTTAATATTATAATTACAGTTATATTTTATTTTGATAAACAAATTGGATGGACGTATATTAAAACAGGATAGCATTAGCCTCCCATGCGTTTCCAAGTGGGCCTGATTTTAGATCGCGATAGGGATAAAAGATTGAAATGGTTGGGAGCCATCATGGATCAATCCATATGCGACGCCTTCTCAAACATTCCTGTGGCATATGAATACTGTTAAAAGTAATTGATGGGCTGTGAGTAGAGAACAAGGCCCAGCTGCTCTCGGCCCATGTGCCTTACAACAGGCCCTTCCAGCCTGTTACGTTTTTTCATATTTATTTTTTAAAAAATTAAAAAAGTCATATTATGTAGTTCGCGCTTGGTGAATATTTGCATTTACTCATTATTGATGGTTATACCCAACGTCCACTGAAAATTCTTCCCATTGAAGTGTCATTAATATTGTATGACATGATTGATCTACGTCATTTTTTCCTTTTTCTCCATAAAAAAAAAAATGCATAATGCTTGAAAGCAAGAGTAATAAATAAGAAAAGTAACCTATTATTCACCCTACTTACGTGTCTTCCATGCAACGCACACAAAGTCACGCTCCCTCAAATCTCACCTAATAATTGTTTTAAGAAACAAAAACACAAAAGAAATTTGGAATGTCGAAATTTCAAGAATTAGATTTATGAGATTTTGAGGGTGACTTTAAGTAAACCTAAAAACTAAAATGAATTTTTATATGAATATTGTTGGTAAGTTGCTATATTTTTTTGGTAACTGGTTAGGGTATATGCTTGATATTGGCTGGTTTGGAACTTTTTAGGCTTAAATTTGGCGATTCTTTTCTGTTTAAGGTCTAGAAAATAAAATATTAATCTGCTTCTACTCACTTATGTGAGTAAAGCAATTTGAATGAACAAGTAGGGCAGAGATGGAAAGCAAGTAAATGGCCTTTGGAAAAAGAAATAAAAAGGGGTAAGATCCAAACATCGAAACCTAGAAAAAGAACAATCTACCAAATATGGCGTAAAAGAAATAAGTGAGCGAAGAAGCGGTGTTTCCCAGCCGCAAACACGCACTCAAACCACGCGTTTCACCAATCCATTTATTCAATTCAAAAATAAATAATAAAAATTTGAGAGGATGAAACGGGGTGGGTGCGGTCTCCAGCAAGGCTTGGGGTTGGCCGTGTTCTCCAACTACTGAATTATGAGCTACCATCCTATCCAGTTTTAATGGGATTATTCTATCACGGTCTTAATTTCATGTAATATAAATTGATTTTTGTAAACAAGTAAATAAGAAACAGGCTCCTTTCTCTGTCCAGACTATGAACTGAACAAATAAACAACTTATTCTCCTCCAGGACAACCCTGCCGTACATTGCACATCTTTGCTTTTCTTTTGTTTTCGAATAATATGAGGGAGGGAGTGAGGGCGTGATGTGAAAGAGAGCAGAGATTGTTTTCTTTTTCCCCAAATTAACAACTTACTCTCCTCCTCCTCATGGATTGTTGGTCCCCTTCTCACCCTCTCGACGACGAGTTCGAGAAGCTCGTCAATCGCATGAACCCTCCAAGGTCAATCGCATTCTCTTGCCTTTCTTTCCTCTGTTTCTTCTCTCTCTCTCTCAAATGGCTTTTCTGTTTCTCCTCTCTCTCTCTCTCTCTCTCTCTCTCTCTCTCTCTCTCTCTCAAACGGGCTTCCTTTTCAGGGTCACCGTTGATAACGATTCCTGCCCAAACGCCACTCTCATCAAGGTCTTTTTCAACTTCAATTTCTCTTTCAACATCTCACCCTTCTCGCTTCTCATCGCTTTCACTCCCCCAATTTTTCAGGTTCATAGTGCTAATAAGCGAGGGAGTTTGCTGGAAGTGGTTCAGGTTCTTAATGATTTGAATCTCACCATTAGACGGGCTTACATTTCTTCTGATGGCGAGTGGTTCATGGATGGTCAGCTCACGTTTTAATATCCAATTTTCATTCAACTCCAATTCATAACAAAAACAAAAGCCAAATTATTCATTGTTTTTTCTCTCTCTTTTTCTTCAGTGTTTCATGTAACGGATCACCGTGGGAACAAGCTCTCTGAAAATGGAGTTGCTGAACGTATTCAACAGGTGAATTTCAATGCTCACTTTTTCTTAAGCTTACAACTCCATTTCAAATGTTTCCACTCGACTTGTGAGGAACTATGGGTGTGATTTTAGTCTCCGCTCCCCTCTTTTTCTACTTTTTCAGGTTCTATGTATCATCTATAAGAATTTGTAATGACTTCTGTTGGCTGTTGTTTGACTTGTTCTAAGGTTAAGGTTGTATAAGGTGTTATGTTTGTGCTAATGGATGAATTTTGTTATTTCAGTCACTCGGGCCAAGGGCTCTGAGTTTCCGTTCATTGAGATCGGTCGGTGTTCAAGCTGCCGAGAAACATACAACCATTGAATTGACTGGAAGAGATAGGCCTGGTTTGCTCTCTGAGGTTTTTGCTGTTATAGCAGACCTCAAATGCAATGTGGTAGCTGCAGAAGTTTGGACTCATAATTCGAGAATGGCTTCCGTTGTGTACATCACTGACGAGGCTACTGGGCTGCCACTTGATAATCCCGACCGGCTTGCTAAGATAAAGCGGCTTCTCCTTTACATCTTGAAAGGGAATCGGGATAAGCGCAGTGCCAACACTGCTGTTTCTGTGTGTTCTACTCACAAGGAAAGGAGGCTGCATCAGATGATGTATGAAGACCGTGATTACGACCGAGATGACTTGGACTGTGGCTCAACAAGTGATCACAGAAAACCCCTTGTAATTGTAGAGAACTGTACCGATAAGGGATATACCGTTGTGAACTTGAGGTCTCTCGACTGTCCAAAGTTGCTGTTTGATACTGTTTGCACGCTAACAGATATGCAGTATGTAGTGTACCATGCTACTGTCATTGCTGAAGGACCAGAGGCTACTCAGGTAACTTCTTATCCGTTCATCGCCATTGTCGATGTTTCGTGATGCATTTGGTGTAACTCGTTGGACTAAGCATTTGTGGAGCAGGAGTACTATATCAGGCATATGGATGGAAGTCCTATTAGTTCTGAAGCAGAGAGGCAAAGAGTAATCCATTGCTTAGAGGCTGCCATTCGAAGGAGAAACTCCGAGGTGATAACCGATATTGATTTACATTTCTTGCCTAAGATTTGTGTTCTCGATTGGAGTCTTGTGTGATTTTACTCTGCTAAATACTCAGGGTATAAGACTAGAACTTTGCAGCGATGATAGGGCTGGACTCCTTTCCGATGTGACTCGAATCTTTAGAGAAAACGGTCTTTCAGTCACTCGAGCTGATGTTACCACTCGCGGTTCTCAAGCTGTCAATGTGTTCTATGTCACTGATTCATCTGGGAGTCCAGTCAAGATACAGATGATCGAAGCAATTCGAAAAGAGATTGGCCTCACTATACTCCATGTCATAGACGACGAATCCTGCACAAAATCTCCATCTCCAGAAAGCAGTAGATTTTCGCTCGGTAATCTTTTTCGATCAAGATCAGGGAAGTTTCTTTATAACTTGGGCTTGATAAACTCGAGTTCTTGAGGAAATTGGGTTGGTAAAATGTTAGAAATGTCCATGTGAAGGAATGGGCCTAGAGAGTGCTCAAAATTGTAACACAGTTTAGATCAATCCCTTCGTTGATCTTTGCAAGTTAAATTTCAAGTTGTACAGTAGTATTAATCATCATGTACATGAAGAATTTACAATCCCATCCTTTGCTCTAAATATATAATAAGTCTACCGTATCATAACAAAGCAAACATTTGATTCCATGGAATGACTATACAGAGATTGGAGCCTCTGTACTTGAGAAAATTTTAATGGTTTGATTCCATGGAACTTCACCCACTTGGAAGAAAAGAAGAGACGGAGAATTTTTGTAAAATTTTAATGGTTGAGATTACTCGTATTGTTTTGGAATCTTAAAATTAAAATTAAAATAAACCCATTGAATGTCATTCTGGGGTAACCAATTGTCACCATCACAACTTTATTTGAAACACATTCTTTTGCAAATATAACTCGACTTACAAGAAACAAAAAAAAAAAAAAAACTTGATTTACTTAAGGGGCTTAACTTCTACTATTTAAAATCTTGGTGGAATCCTAGGTTAGTTTTATTATACCATAAAAAATTGTTGAATATTCCGTGCTCTCCTTTCAAACTCTCCGTGAAGAGTTCTGTACAAAGGTTTGTATCGAGAAGCACATAAATCTGTGGTATTTTTCCGGCACCAACTCAAAATTGATCATTTAACAACTGCGGAAGAAAAGAAAAGAATTGGAATATACGCCTGCACCTCTTTCACGCAGCTGACCTCTAAAAAACCTATACAGCAACTTACAAGAGGGTTACAAAAAAAGGGGGGGGGGGGGGGGGGGGGGACTGCACACTCTACAAAAATTGATGTTAAAAGAAAAAATCAATTTCTATTGCCTAATCGTCTAAGCGTTGAATTTCACCCATCATGATTCTGTTGCTGGTGACTTTGAAACCGAGTAGTGCAGGGTCTATTTGCCTCCCCTTCCTCCCTTTCTTTTTCCCACCTTTCCCTCCCTGCATTCCATCTGATGGTTCTGAAACCCCAGTTGAATGGACTTCTTGTGGAGCTGTCTTCTTCAGCATATCAATAAAAGAAGTCTCCGATACTTCATTGTCACTACAGGAAGAAGAACGCCGAAAACGCATTTCTTTCTTCACAGCAGCCATGTTTTCTTGGTTCACCGAGACACCAGTTGGGTCGGGTCTGCCTCCTAAAGTTTAGGATAAATATCTCAAATTTAGTTCAAATTTCAAAATATTTATGGAGAAAAGATAGCAAAACCAATCGCTTATATCTACCATCTGGATTCTTGCCTCTAACAACCGGATCAGAAATCAGGACAGACGATCCTTCCTGAGCTGCTGAAGTACGTGAGACAGGAGGTCGTTTCAATAAAGCATTATCTTTATTGTGAATGATAATATCCCTGTCAGAAAACAGAAAATAAAAATATTAGTAAATCGATATTTATAAACTACCACAGAACAAGTTGAGCATATATTCGTCTTTACTCATTATATACTTCTAACGGTGCTAGTTATAGATTAAAAATGTGAGATCTCACAAGAACAGTTCCCATTATCAGTGCAACTTACGGGTCTTTAGGAATCTCTTCTGGGAACGTATTAGCAATCCTTTCATTATGAAAGCCTACATTTCCAAGGAAAGAAAACATAAGATAGCATCTTCCTAATGGTTGGTAGAAGAGAAGGTAACTAAAAAAAGAGAGAAATTTATACCAACAGAACCAAGAGAAGAATGCCGGCTAAGGGTATGAGTATCCACCGAAAATTCCCCGTGATCAGCAGATGCCACTTGATCAAGCATGCTTTCTTGAATTTGGAAAGCTTGAGTTTTCATCAAACCCTCACCTTTCAATCCTCGAGCTCTACCCTCCACCTCTGAGACATCTTTATTCATCGAACTAGAGCTGTTAACTGCAACATTGGGTTTAGGACCAGTCAAAATTGATGTTCCCTTGCTAACAGAGCCAGACTCCAACCTGTATAGGACCTTCTCATTGCTTGCCAAGCTGCCAGGATGCTCACCTTGCAGTGGTTTATAAGAATTAGAACCATAAGACCCCACTGACAATGCATTGTTCATGCCTCTTTCCTTGCCTGAATGAAGAATGAACGACTGATCAAGAGAGCCTGATCCAGAATAGAGGCCAGATGATGCCCTATTGAACGATGCACAATTTCCTACATCCAAGGATTCTGTAGGCTGATGAACAGATTTCTGATTGAGGAGTTCCATTAATAATTGCTTTGACTTCTCATCATTGAGCCCATCTGACATCCATAGAGTTGGATCTTCAGAAATCATTTTAGCTTCCAACTCCCTTTTCTGTTGCTCAGCATTGATATGCAGCTGTTGAATGCGAGACTCCATCCAATCATTTCCATGTCGGTCATTTTTCTCAGACCAGTTGCCTTCAGTTCCATCAAAATGTGAAGCATGAAACTGGTTACTGCCTAGAGAGTGGTGAGGTTTCTGTGGAATGATGCTGGGTGCATATTGTCCCAGTTGACCACCAGGTGGATTATGTGCACTAGATTCTTGCAATTCTAAAGCACGAGCACAGGCCATTGCATTAACAACATCCAGATTCATCCCCTGAGCAACATCAGGATAGGATATTGATCTCTCAAGTGGAAGTGAAGCAGGCTCATAAAGACCTAGCCTAAACCGATCTTGGAATGAAAGATTGCGCTCAAGGTGATTCAGCTGCTCTACATGAGACTGCCTCTGCTGCTGCTGCTGCTGGTGTAATTCAAACCCTGACGACAATAAACGTTGTGCACTAGCATGTCCTCTAAAAAACTGCTGATCAGCCTCATCCTCCGGCCAGATGGGACCACCAACAAGTCTCTTGTCCTCCATATTGGCCCTCTGCCTTAATGCCATAGACAACTGTCGAGACTGAAGCATCTCCTGCTGGAGAATTTGCTGATCCAATGATTGCATCTGTCCAAGCTGAGCCCGAGATATTAGTTCAGACAGATCTCTTGGATGTTCCTGTTGTGGTGGCAAGTGACCAAACTTTGTTTTAATAAGTTGCTCAAAAGATGGATCAACAGATCTTTGTTGATGATGAGACTGTTGCTGTAGCTCATGTAGAAGACGTTGCTCCAGTATCGCCTGATCAAGAGCATTATTGGCTCTAATTGAATCAATATGTGACTGCCCAAGACCTGCATCATGCATTTGTTGGCGCAACAATTGTTCAAGCAGCACCTGTTGGACTTGAGATTGATGTTGTTCCTGCAAAAGCTTTTGCTGCTGATGCAACTGCTGCTGCTGTAATTGATGCTGTAACTGCATCTGCTGCCGTTGTACACTCAGGTTCAAGAAATGATCAAGGTCAGGTGTACTTCTATTAGCCAATAGCTGGTGATGGTGCATAAGATTCTGCTGGTGCATATGATGATCCAAGGTAGCTTCATTAGAGTGAGACAACAAATTCCGTTGTTGAAGTGCCTGATGATATTGTTGCGAGATGAGTTGATTTGCCCAATCAAACCTATTAGATTCTTGTTCTATAGGCGGCAGGGAATGAGTGACATTTGCATCCTGGTATACACCCTGGTCAGAATGCATACTCCTTCTGTAAACATCAAGCCAAGTCTCTGCATTGAGAGATGCTTCCCCCTTCCCAACAAATGGTCCGGTTCTTCCCATGCTTGAAGGAATGTTAGCTGACTTGGCATGTTTCAAATTTGTGACTTCAACTGGTTTCACATTCGTACCTTCCAGCTCAGACCACAGCAATCCAAAAGGGTGCAACTTATGTTCATCCTGAACGGGAACACTGCGATCAGTCAACTCGGAAGGTTGGCTGATAGAACTCACCAAAGGCAGTACCCCAGCAGAGTTTGGAATTTGATAACCACCATTTCCAGGCCTCCCAGAAAACACAATTTCTGAAAAACAGAGGAATTGTTATGACAAGTGTGTCAAGGAAAAAAAATAGCACATTACTAATAATACAACAAAAAGAAGACGACAAACCTTCATCCTGTGCAACAACATCATGAACGCCTTGACCCTTGGAATGTAAATGAAATGGTACTTCAATCTCGGACATACCAGATGGAATGTGTTGATTTGAGAGGCTATGTAACTCAGCCAATGACCGATGAACCTCATTTGTTGTGGACGCATCATTCTTATCAAGAGAAGGATGCTTAGAAGGCAAATTGGCCTCCATTATTCCTCCTGAGACACCAGATTGTCCTGAAAGAGATTTCATATCAGCACAATCAACACTTCCCACTCTAATTTTCAAATGTGGCATAACCTTTCCCAACTCACTGAATGGGGTTCCTTCCGAGGCATCTGCCAACCGAACAGGCAGGTCCAACCCAAAGAAACCTTGCTCATACCACAAAATAATGTCAGCCCCGATAAATGGACCCTGAATAACCCCTTGAGGATCAAGATAAAACAAACTCAACTCCTCGGACTTCACATCAGAACTTATAGTTGCATTTTGCTCAGAGAAGGGAATAAAGAAAATAGCACTAGGATCATCAGGAAGCTTGGATCCAACATCAAAAGAATTTGCAAACTCAATTTCATCGAAGTTACGAGGCATTCTATGATAAGAATCTTCTTGCCCATTCACATTAACATTTAGCTGAGTACCAATCTCCATCCCAAGTTGGGAGGCTACTGTAGAAACTGTATGGGCCAATCCATCAGCGTTTGACATAGAAACAGCTGCATTGGACCTTTTTTTCTCTTCCTTATTGCTGATATATTTTCCTATTTCATAGAAATTAAAAATGAAAAAATGCTTTCAGCAACAAATGGACACTAAGCGATATCATATTTGTAAATACTAACCATTTAGGGCATCTCTCGTTGCAGGATGACTCCAAATGCTCCCGTCACTAGTATCTTGGTATGCATCATCATTAGTAACTTTTTTAGTGATATTAGCAATTTCTTCATCTGCAGTTGCTGCAAGGATAATCCATTTTGTAAATATATTGATTACCCCCGATAACTAAATAGAGGAAATGTAGGGAGAGTTCTAGACAAACAAGTACGCGGTAGAAAAAACTTGTAGATCTAACTCAATACCTTCTACATCCTCAGATACTAAAGTTGAGTCCAGTCCAGTCTGATTTCTCTCTATCGAGTCAACATCTCCTGGATTAGATTTCAACACAGATTAGTCCCTAGTTTAGTTTCTAAGGAGTTAACAGATGGACCAACGCCACAGCTACCAAATAGAAAATACCTAAAATACATTCAGTTGGCTTCTCCTTTTTCTGTGGAATGTATACAACCCCACTACTTGTGATCTTTCCCTTCCATATGTCACTAAGGATAGCCTGCACAATACAAACGGCACAGTCACATAATAACTTGCAGCACATTCATTGTCATCCAACATGTCAAGAAATTATTTGTTACCTCCTCCTCAGCATTCGGAGAAACAAACGCTAACGGTTCTACAGAACTAGGTTGAGTCACAGGCAGTAATTCATCCATGTGATCAGGCAGAGATGAGAATGATGGATCAAATTTCTGCCTCCTATATATGTCAAGAAGCTTACCCCTAGGGTAACAAAAAGAATAAGATGAGTATCTTGGTTTCCCAGGAACATTTTCAATCTTATCCAAGAGTGGAACTCCAATGGGACAAGTAGATGATCTCCCAATAGTATTGGACCTTCCTCGTCCAACTGTAAATCCTAAATTAGACCCCCCATCTCCCCGGCCTCTCTCAAGAGTAAAACCGGGTGCAGCACGAGAGGAAGTTGAGCCAACAGAATGACTTTCCATCCTATGGCGAGGCCTCCATTTATCACGTGAATCGGAATCACGCTCAGAAGTAGGGCGATTGCCACTCACTGATTGACTGTCATTGCGAACATCTTCCTTATCAGCATCTGATCGCTTGTCCATCCGTGATTCCTTTTCTTTGTCATCTGGTCCCCACCTCAATGTCCATTTGTTGTCACGTCGTGCATCATGACCAGAAGTACGACTATCATGCCCAGAAGTACGACCATCATGACCAGAAGTGCGATTATCATGCCCAGAAGTACGACCATCATGCCATCTGTCCAAATTAGGTAGGACTCTAATCTCCATTGTCTCCTTGGTTGACATGCTATCAATGCGGCGCTCAGCTTTTCTGCGGCGACCACCAAGTAAGCCAGTTTCACGCTCTTCCTCTCGCCAACAGCGCCCACTTTCATTTTCAGAAGTATTTTTCCTCCAATCCTTCTTGTCCTCAGACCCATCTGGGCGCCAAACCTCTTTATGATTGAGATCAGTAGAGTTAGCAAGGGGCACTGGCATTGGGGCACGCACTTCCTGTTCCACATTGAACAGAATACTTATCTACTGAAAAAAATAATGCACTGTCTATACAAGTGCAATTCTTCCTAAGAATTAAATAGAAGTTACCATGTTAAGCCTTAAAAAATATGATATACAGTTACCAATACCACCTTGACCAGTATTGAATTAGCTATAACAGGATTTAATTCAAACCATGTGTTAAGGGTAAGTTTTCTGTACATACGAATAATAACAGAAGAAAGACTATATTTTGAAAATTTTAAAGTATCAACCAAGACATAGTAAAAGCCGGTAAATCTTAGTTCAAACTACGACAAAAAGAGGCTTCCATTATCACTAGAAGGTAATCAAAACTAACCAACAATACTACAATCTTTCCTAACTTTACAAGCCTAGAGCAAGAGAGAACTTAACCAGGCTCATAACATCTTCTGTATGCCTATTAAAATTTCCACAAGAGACTTCTAAGATCAGCTAACGGACTTGAGAAATGGGAATTTAAATAATATTCCTATGGATTCAAAATTGAATTTCGAACATGAAGGATACCTCAACAGCTTCAATCACCATATTCAAAATATGATGCTATTGTGCAAGCTAAGAGGCTGATTGAATTTCTGGAAATCATTTTTATGAATAACTTCTCAATCTTATCTTTTAAAATAAATTTGAATTTAATTTTATAAAAATGATATATTATGTTATTGTGTTTAAATTTGTTTCTTGTCCACATAGATTTAATACAACACATTTAAATCAAGCTATACTGAAAAAAACAACTAAAGTTATATATGAACAGTTAATTTAGAAAATATCAAATAAAACAAAAGCAAATAGCCAAATAGTATTTCACCTGTTTCTATTGACTTTAGAAAAAATAATCGTGCCAAATAATTTTACCGTTCGACTTTTAAACTCAAAATTTATTCCTAGACTCAACAATCTATTTATAAACATGACTACAAAGAAACTCCATAGGCAGTCAAATCCTGACGGGCATTTCATCAGCTATCTCTGTGCTAAAATTAATATCTGACCTTAATCTTCAGATTTCCCATAAAGAGTTCCTCATCTTTCAAAGTAATGGTTAGGAGAAGTTTGCTCAAGCATATTATCCTTTACCTCTTTCAAAAAGGTTCAGGTGAAAACATCGAGGGGATCCATCATATCTTAAAATAAATCAAATCCAAAAGATCACGTAAATAACTACAACAAGACAGACTATTTAATAGAACAAAAATACATGAGTTAGAAACTTCCCAGAAAAGAAAACTCCATTAAAGTTCTTCAAATGAAATTATGTATACAAAATTGAGACAATAATGCAATCTATCTAAAAAAAAATTCTATTAAATCATAAGCAAGATGTTTTCTCATCTCTACAAGAACATAACGCCGATTCATTAAAATAATGCTTCGGGTGAATACAAACATAATATAAAGTGGCTAGACAACTCCTTAATTTGAAACTCAACTTGTACAGACAGTTTTCATAGACTTTGTCGTCTAAGAAAAAAACATTGTAGAATAAATGCTTACAAAGGGTTCAGGGAATTTAAACTTATCAATAAAACTTCTCCAACGACAGAAAGAAAAATAAATGAAATAATGCCAAACAAGTATTACCATCTTAGCTTCACTTGGTTTGGCATATAGCCATTGAGGGGACAAAGGTATGTTGTTCTCTGATGCCACTGGGTCTGCATTGTTTGACTATGCATGTTAGCATTGTCACGTTCACAGACTAAATGATAAAACTCAGAAAATTTTAAGATAGGTAAAAGCTACCTTTTGACTCATCAAGGAAGGCCGTGAGCACCTTCTCCTCATCATTCCCTGCAGAAGATTACAGTAGCATATGGAAACGTGTATTTGGAACATTAGTAAGCCAATAAATATATAAAGCAAGAATCACTAAAGTGGCTGCATATGTTGCTAAACCATGGGTGAAAAAAAGATACAGAAAATGCAAGAATCGACCATCTCAACATATTTACGAGAAAACAAGAGGGAGAAAAATAAGGATTGCAAAAAGTGGAACAAGAAACTAACGAATACAAAATGAAAGGAAGAAAGGAAAACCCCATAATTAGTCCCCACAGTCATCCCTTCAGTAAAGATTACAACCCCATCACATAAACAACTTCAAGTACGACACAATAAACATGTTTTTACACAAGTGAATTCCAGAGGACTGGGATAGGTATCGTAAAACAACAAATATCGAGACAGAGATCAATGATTCGCTGAACAGCACAACATAAACTGCAGTACATGAAAATTCACCCCTCCCCTATCCCGTTACCGTAGCACCAAAAACAGATGTAAACATCATAAAAACTCAGGCAAAGCACCAAATCCGTAAAGCAACAGCCAACAAGCATAAGCAATCAATGAAAACAGTACAAAATTGAATTCAAAACAAAGAAAGAAAGCCATAGGATCTGGGAACTCCAATAAAGAAATCTAAAAAAATGGTCAAGAGATTAACATTGTAAACCCTAATTCATGAACTGGAAACAGAAAGATTCAAATCCCGAACCAAAACCAGACGGCTGAGATCAAGAAACAAAAAGCAGACATTGACTGGAACAAATTGAATCCAAGAAGGCACGGGATCAAATAAAAGCAAAGCAGCGTAAGCGGCAAGAAAGAGAAGACAACGAATAGAATTCAGAAACACAGACAGATATATATACGGAGAGTGTTGTGAGTACCTTTGGGCGTCCAGGAGTGATCGGAGGGCCGGGAGGAGAGAAGATCGTCAGGGAGACCGAAGTTGCCGTCGGCCATGTGGGAGCGGAGATCGAAAGCAAAGGCCGGATTTGATGTGTGGAGGGAGGGAAGGAAAGGAGTGATTTGCAGAGAGAAGCAGGAGAGAAGAGAAGAGAAGAGAAGAGAAGGTTCGTATGTATGAGAAAATCTAGGGGTTTGGGGAGAATGGCGAAACTGTTGCAGAGAGAGAGAGAGAGAGAGAGAGAGAGAGGGTGCGACTTGTGAGTGTGAGAGAGAAGGAAAAGGGTAAGGCAGGGTTTGGGTTTGGGTTTGGGTTTGGGTTTGGGTTTGGGTTTGGGTTTGGGTTTGGGTTTGGGTCGTCACAACAGCTTCATCGACTAACCAAGTAAATGTGATTTCTTTTCTTTTTTTTCTTTTTTGAAAGTCGCAAGATTTATAGTCATTACATTTTTTATTTTATATTTTTATTAGCTGGGCTAGTGACACATGGGCTTCGTTCAGTTGTTGTGTAAGTGGGCTTGAGCGGCCCAATGGATCGGCCCTTCTGTGAAACTTACAAGACAAACCCAAAGACGTATCTAAAAATTGCGGACCTACAAGATCTTTTACTATATTTGTTCAAAATTTAAACCATTTACCACTCCTTTGAAAAAAAAAAAAAAAAAAAAGTAGAATTATATTTGCAATCTTTGGCTTTATCGTTGGTTATACAACTATTTACTGAAACAAATAGAACAAATGTATTGTTAACTATAAAGAGAATAATAAGGTAAAGACAAAATTGGGTGTCAAAATCAAGAGTTTATGTCAAAATAAATACTGTTGTTCATTGATTTAGTAGGTGCATGAATTTTCGAGCCGGAAAAGGGAATTGTATGGAAAGAAAGTCAAATTGATTAAACAATTTAGTTTATATTTTATTATTATTATCTGGGCTAATAATCTTTTTTTGTAAAACATGAAAATAAAAATAAAAATAAAACGACAAGAAACACAAATAAAATTATATTAAAAAAAAATACAAGCTATCCACCCCCATTTCTATTTTACAACATAATCTACACACAGTCATAGTTGTCTTTTTATTATTTTAGTATGATTAGGCCTCCAATCGTACAACTCCATGAACAAGACGTAGCAACGAAAACATAGGAGGAGGATACATCTCCAATTTTCATTAACCCCTGTTTTTTCTTTCAAAGAAGTTGCATATGGATCTTGCTAACAAGGAACGCAACCCATCCACTAAAACCAATTCGATTGTTCAAACACAGACCTGACAAAAGAAAAACACTATGCTAATAACCACCTCACACTCCCCAGCATCAAACAACACAAATCCTAAAAGTCAAACCCACAAAATACGCATAAAAAAATATTAAAAAAAAAAACCACGTTTAATTCCCTGGAAGAGAGGTTGAGAATCAGAAGTGGAACTGATTTACAATGAGAGACGAAGAAGAACCAGGACTCGGAAGATGATAAGATCCAATTCTCTTCGGAGTAGGATGTCCACATCCACACCGGACATCGGCAGCACCGTCGTCCATTTCCATCAGCACTCCGTAAAAACTCTCCACATCACACGGCAGCGACAGCGGCGCCTGGCAGTTATATCCGTACTCCGCCTCCGCTTCCTTCAACAACGATCGGAACAGAGGATGATTCGCATACTCTGTTCTGATCACAAATCTCTGCCTATCCGCTCCGACGTACACCGTGAAACAGCCTTCTGGTGCCACTCTCCGCTTCCGTCCAAAGCTCCGCCGCCGTTCCTCCTCGTCCTTGTCTTCTCCGCCGGAGATAACCTCCAGGCGTGGCCACGATTTCGTCTTTCTCGTTAAGAATCGTTTGATTCCGGCGGAGGACGGTGAAGTTCTTCTCCCTCGGCCGAACGACTTGCAACGCTCCCAGGTTTTGAAGATCAGCCCCTTGTTCTTCACTTTCTCTCTACTAAAATCCATGGATAGAACGAATGAATAAGCTAGCTTATCTCTAAATGAAAATCCTCCGAATCAAAACGCAATAAGATGAATAGAATGGAAATTGAATTGCTGTTGTCGATTTCGAAGGAAACTAGCCTCGATCGTAGACCAAATAAAACAGGATCTTAACCCGCGGCCTCATTGTGTTACGCATCGTGATTAACGAAAAATCAATACGATGATGTTCATGGAAAACAGAAAAAGGAAGAAGGAAGAAGGCTGATAGTGAAAAGTGCTTGCAGATTCTGAAGAAAAAGAAGAGAAAATTGAAACTCCGGTGTTCTCCTTGGATTGATTGAAAATGGCGTGCGTGTGAAATTGAAGGGAGGAAGAAGACGTTTATATACAAAGCAAACCCGAGGTGGAATTTGAATATCTTTACAATTTCTTTTTCCAGTTTGTCCTTCTTTCTTTCTATTTTATTTTGTAATTTAAATTACTGATATTATTTTATATGACATCACTCGGTTGTCAACTGCTGTGTCACTTGGTGCAAATTGGGAATAAAATGAAATGATTGATGCTTTACAAAAATATTTATTATGTGCGTTATTATATTTTAATGAAGGTGGTTTTGAACAAATAGTTTTCTTTTCCGGCTTGGATAGGTTGCATTTGAATTTAAGAGAAAAAAATGTGATAATTATTTTGTAATTCAATGAATGTGGCTAGATATTAAGGGAAAAAAAAGGAATATTCGGTTCCTATGTTCATGAAATAGATAATAAATATTTTGGAAGTTTTTCCATTAATAAGAACAAGTAGTTTGAAGTTGTGTTTCTGTCGAGTTGCTTTCACAATAGCCCTTAATCTGACTTTTACGTGAGATTGCTACATGTTTAAGGGGGAAACGTGATTCTAGTTTTTTTTTTTTTATTTATTTTTTATTATAGCCTCTAAAATTTAAAATTGTAAACAATGTTAATTAATTTTGTCGTCGTTAATATAGATGTCTTTTGTCATCTTATGACACTGCATATTGAAGATGTGACGCCACGGGCAATCAAAAATCTAATCTAATCATGTCACCAAATTACTCTAAAAATATTAACCCCTTTATTTTTATATATCATTGAGAACAGAAATTCTGGGAGAAATATGAAAGAAATGATGAGTATAGGTAGATAAATACTAATATTGCTGATTTATAATTAATGTTTTTTTTTCTTTTGGAGTAATTAAGATTCAATGAAGGATAAGGATAAGGACAATTAATTGGTTATTAATTGGTCATCAATAGTTCACTGGAACTTGCATTGACAAGTTCCACAGACGTGAGAGAGAGGGAGAGAGAGATGTTTCATCAATGTCAATTTGAAAATAGAAAAATATAGAAGAAGTAAATTGATAAAACATTGAGCATAATAATGAGATATAAATAAACAATAAAAAAAAAATCATTTAAAAAGTCCAACGCGTATTATTTAATTTTTTTTTTTAAATTGTTTTGGTCCCTTGGTGGCATTAAAAGTCCAGGTTAGATTGTATGTGACCAAAGAAGTAGAGAGAGTTAATTGTGACATATGGAAGCATTTTAGCCAAATTATATCAAAGCCTGATTTGTTACAAAAAAATAAAAAATAAAAAATAAAAAATTAGGAAATTATCCACAATAAAGGATTTTAATTATTCTTAAAGAATTGAATTTTATTATACCAAGTTTTTAACCGCTGTACTCTTTTAACATGTTTGTAGTAACAAATTTAGGAAGTTAAAATTTAAAAAGTTTGATGGTTATAGTAAAATACATAATGCCCTAGAATTATAAATATTATTTATAAAGAAAGAGTTTGAAACTGATGGAACCATAGTTGACTTTATATTGAAGAAGGAATNAAAAAAAAAAAAAAAAAAAAAAAAAAAAAAAAAAAAAAAAAAAAAAAAAAAAAAAAAAAAAAAAAAAAAAAAAACAGCATGAGTTAATCATACTAAATTATTAGATCTATGTATTATGATTTTATAGACAAATTACATGGCATAATTGTTTAGGGTAGAGAGGGAGAGGGGAAAAGAGTATTAAAAAAAAGGAACACAAAAATAATTGAAACAACAACATTATTTTGCCTCACCATGCTTTTATCTTGTTTGTAATGGACATAAAATTATTATATGTCACTATTATAGTTCAGCTTTTAATTCTACTTTTAGTTTTTAGTAATATTTTAAAACACTCTTACAAATATAAATGAATTACAATGCAAGAAAAAAAAAAAAATAATTTAGCCCCCGAAAGGATACATTCAGACCTCAATAATAAAATTTTAGTCACTAAGACTTAATAAATAATTTTCATAAATTTTAAAAATGAGATGCAGAACAGTAAAATGGGGGAAAAGGCCAATTTTTTTTTTTTTNTTTTATATATATAATGAAGCTAAATTAAGTTTCCATTTCTCTATACAGAATCGAGACACATGAAAATCAATCTGATACATATAACCCCAACTGTATCTCGGGAAAAGAAAAGAAAAAAAAAAAAGTTGCTCCAACAAGAACAACTTCAACTTTGTTAGAGAAAGAGAGATTAACAAAAAAAAAAAAAAAAAAAAAGAGCATTATTTAGAATAAAATTACATCTAAAGCCATAAGGCCCCGGCTTCCTTGAGAAGAGGGACCAAAGTTCCATTGATGTGAGAAGCCATAACTCTGTCCATAGAGCCCACCAGCTTTCCGCCAATAAAGACGACCGGCACCGACGGTGCGGCGGGTCCGACGAGCCTCATTAAAGCCCTTTCAATTTCTTTTCCTCTGGGGTCGTGGTCCAGCTCGTACACGGTTGGGCTCACTCCCATACCGCATAGCAGGCGCTTGAGAGCGTGGCACATGCAGCAGCTGCTGACGCTGAATATCACCACCGCGCTCTCCGCCGCAAGCCGGAGTACACGGTCCACTGGGTCTCTGGCTGCAGTGGGCGGCATGTAGTATTCCCATGAACGCCCTGCCTGGTAATGCATCATTTTTTGTTTTTTGTTTATAGTTTTGTGTGCGTGTGGCGAGTGAGGAAAAGGGAATTTTTGAGATTTGGAAATGGTGGTTGGGGGATGTGGGGTTTATATAGGGGAGATTGGAAAGGATGCACTTGGTTGTTTTGTTGGAGAAATATATGTTTTATTGTTGAAGGAATAGGTTAGAAATAAGTTAAAAAAGAATAGGAAACTGGGGGGGGGGCAAAGGTAGTAATAAAGAAGAATTTGTCTGTTGTTGTCGCGAGGCGTGGGAGGAAGCTGTTCCTCATGTTTTGCTTTCAAAAAATGACTGACTCTGTACTCTCTCTCTCTCTCTCTCTCTCTCTCTCTCTCTCTCTCTTTTTAATTTTCTTGGAAAATTTAGAATAGGGTGTCAGAATTGAAGGCGGCTGAGGGGATTCAGTTGTCTACACTACAGAATACAGAAGAACAAAAAAAACTAAAAAAGAAAAAGAGAAATGTAAAAGACGGCTGTGTGTGTCCTTGATGTCGGCTTCTTTTGTGCATTCATGCAGAAAAAGAAAAGGGAGGCTTTTATTACACCAACAGAACCAGAAGATGAAGATGACGATGAAGACGAAGACGAAGGTGAAGATGAATCTCCCCTTCTTCTAACATTTCCCCTTTTGTGTTCAATATCGTTTGGTGTTTCAGATTTTTGTTGCATCTAATCTAACAATTTCCTTCTCAGCCACTTACTTGTTTATTCTTTGTAATCAATTTTCCTCAACTTAAGAAAAGAAGCATGACATTATATGGAGGATGAAAAATAATGGGAAAAGAAAGAAAAGGAATGTAATAATAGAATAGAGCAGAACAGAACATACATTCGGAATTCATATAATTGATAGTATAATTGTGGAATAGCAACTCCAATTAATTCAACTCAATCTCATATATCATAATTGTACTTCTCTTTTCTACACATTTACTTGAAGACAAAGAGAGAGAGAGGAGGTTTGTAGGGGAGCGCCGAATACCGGCGCAGGAAGAGGAAGCCCCAATCAAACCCTATACTGCACTGTACTCTACTATACTATACTCTCCCCCCACACTTGCACTCTTTTTAAAATACCTTTTAATTTCCAAATATATTTTAATTAATTTTAATGCTGCTGCTTTCTCCTTTTTTGTTCCCCTGTCTCACCATTATACTCTATTTTTACTTGCCTTATACTTTGTTTTCTTCCCTTTTTTGGTCTAAAACCAAAACAAAGTTATCTATTTGGAAGGACTCTTGTGTAATATTTAATCTATTTTTTATATTAAATACTTACTTCAACCTTTTTCAAATAAAAAATAAACGAAAGAAGAAGAGGAAGGAGAAGAAGAGGAAGAAGAAGAAGAAGAAGAAGAAGAAACTTTGTATATCGATGGGAGTTGGGAAAGGATGGTTCTTAGAAGGTGTGGGAAAGTGGGGTATTGGTGGATTGTCGGTGGATTTTTCCTTTTCCCGTTCCCTTTCCTTTTCCTTTCCTTCGTTGTTTAATTACAAATATTTACTTACAATATACCTACTTAGCTAATTTGATGTGATGGGCGTCACAAATAGTTAAGCCACCTAGCCAATATATTTTTTATGAACATAGCATACTTAAGGTTTTTTCTATCTTTCTTAAATTGTCACTTAAAAGTTTTGAATGGTTCCATAACTTGATGCATTGTTGGTAAGAGCACTTCATTACAATGAACAGTTTCAAAGAAAGGAATTTTCAAAAAAATGAAAAGGTAAGGAAAAAAGTTGTTAAAAAGGGGGAGTGAGAAGAAGAGCAAGAATGTAGGGGAAATAAATAGATCTAGCTACAAAGATTCCTTTTTTTTTTTTTTTTTTTTTAATTAAAAATTACTGCTACTGAATGTCTTCACTTGTTCCGAACACCAAACAAAAATCAATCACTCAAATATANTTACCTTGGAAATAAAAGAAAAATGAGAGATGAAGGGGATGGCGATGGTGATGGCGATGGTGGACATTGTAGCGATTGGTGGATTTGAAATCAGCGTCAGAAGAACGCGAAAAAAGAAAAGAATTGAGGAACAGATAATTCAAGTAAAAAAAAAATAAAAGAAAAAGTGAAACTTTCAATAAACAAACAAACACATCAGTTGAATGTGGAATCCGCCGCCAGTCCCGCCATTTGACGCCGCTCTTTTATCACTGCTTCAATTCAACCCTCTTTCCATCTCCTAACACCACCACCCATCAAACCCATTCAGGGGGGTGATGCATAATTGGATCACTATTCAAACATTCATAGCGCGCACACGCACGCACGCACAGTACCTCTGAATTGAGATGGGATTTTTTCCTCTCATTTTTTATTCTGCTTGTGTTAATTGAATAAATGGGGTTGCTGTAATTACATGGGCGTGCCCGATGCCGACTAGAGTTCAAACCAAAGCCGGCTCTTCTCCTAATTCCCTTTCATTTTCACTGTACACACCCAGTCAATCAATCTATCTCACACGAAACCTCGCCTATTCGCCTACCACCCTCGCCCTCGTCTCTTCAACATCCTGTATTCGCAGTTCTACACGTTCTTCTACTCCCCCCCCCCCCCCCCCCCCCCCCCCCCCCCCCCCCCCCCCCCCCCCCCCCCCCCCCCCCCCCCCCCCCCCCCCCCCCNCCCCCCCCCCTCTCTCTCTCTGCCTTCTTCGTTTTTCACCTACCCGATCGGGGGGAAGGTTCTGTGGACTGACCCTTGACGTGATTTCTCTGTGACAATTCGATTGGATTGGGTTGTGAGTTTTGTGATCGAGTCTGGGAGCCTTTGAGATCAATTCTTCCATTTCCTTTTGTGTTTTTGGGGTGTAGTAGAAGGATTCTGAAGATTGGGTTTTTGATTTGAGGATATGGGCTGCTTTCCCTGTTTCGATTCGAGGGAAGAGGAGAAGCTGAATCCCGAAAAGGAAAGCGATGATGGTAAGCAACACCATCCAATGATTCCACCCAACATTGCCAAATTGCCTTCTGGTTAGTTTCTTTCTTCTTCTTCGTTTTTGATCTCACTAGTCTCTCTGCAAAATCTGCGTGTTCTTGATCTAGTTTATACGATTCTTCGTTGTTGTTCCTTTGCTTGCTTCCTGTTAGTCTATCAATGGTTTTGATTTGGTGGAGAAAAATATATGGAGCTGCTACTATCAGTGGACCCCAGCAGATTTTGTTAACTTTGATGCACTTGTGTTCTTTTGATTTGAGGAATCATGGTGAATTCTGTAGTCTGATGTATCTGAGTGATAGGTTTGTAATAGATAGATAGGGATCAGAGTCGCAATCAATTATTTGTTAGGTGACTAAATCTGGCAATCGTGTTCATCCAAATTTTTGTACTCTGCACCAATCATGTTTGTATGATAGCTAATAGGGTTTTGCAGTGTTAGATTCTTTCACTTTGCATTGGTGGCTTCATCATATTTTCTCCTTATGGAGTTTTAATACCTCAAAATCCTTTCACCCTAAACCATGGAATGGGGTAGGAAGACTGCTCTTTGTTCTGATGGTATGTTTGCTTGCAGGAATAGACAAACTTAGATCAAAAGGCAATGGTGGTTCCAAAAGGGAACAGCAGAATCCCAAGGATGGGCCTCTTGTCAATATTTCTGCTCAAACATTCACTTTCCGGGAGCTTGCAATTGCAACCAAGAATTTTAGACCTGAGTGTTTTATTGGGGAAGGAGGATTTGGACGTGTATACAAAGGGCGCCTCGAAAGCTCAGGCCAGGTTATGCGTCTATGTTTTTAAAGCATCAAATTAATCCTTTAGGTTATCAGTCTACACAATACGACCAAATTGTTTCTCCTACCAAGTACAGGCAGCTTTAGTTCCACTGAAAATTTGATCTTCTGGCTTTTGCATTTATCCTTGATTTTTGTGAAGTGGGAGGGATGAAAATAATTAGTTTTGATTTCCAAATAGTCCCCTTTCAATACAAATTTCTGATTTATACGTGTTGTTGCAGATTGTTGCTGTAAAACAGTTGGATAGGAATGGTCTTCAAGGAAACAGAGAATTTCTAGTGGAGGTTCTCATGCTTAGCCTTCTACATCATCCAAATTTGGTGAATCTGATTGGTTACTGTGCAGATGGGGATCAACGGCTTCTTGTATATGAGTTCATGCCTTTGGGATCGTTGGAAGATCATCTTCATGGTAAAGTTTTCTGCTGACTTGAAAACCTATAATTATGATGAACTCTCTCTATATATGTGTGTGTGTGCGTGTCAATAATTTTGTCAGAAATTATTTTTATCCAACACTCTACAATTTATTAGAGGTTCGAATTCTTGTATGCTTTTTCTATTTTTCTACATTGTTGTATGTTAATTTAGGTGTGGTCTAAACTCTCATCTATGCACTTTTGTGATTCTTACTACTTTTCCATTTTGCTTGTTAGTTTAAGATTGGATTTAGTCCGGAAAATAATATTGGAATGGGGTCGAGTTGAGACTGGATTTTTGTTGATTCTTGGAAAATAACATCTTCTATCACTTTAATTAAGATTGCCGTTTAAATTCAAGGATTCTCAGCCTACGTCAAATTGTAGCTAGATTACTAATTGCCCTAAAGCTAGACCCTTCTATCTGATGAAAGAGCGTGCTAGTAGTTAGACCAGGGGACTACTGGGTTGAAGTACGGTTTCCTGTTATTACTTATTTGAGTTATTCCTTCTTATGAATTTGTAAGAATGTCTACTCTGATTCACCTGCAATTTGAAATGAAGCTCAGGGGCTGCTATTTGATCCTATCGTCAATGTAACTGCTATTACTTCAATTATGTGCATATTATGTGGAATCATACAATGTTAGAATGTGTGAGATGTGTGTTTAGTTTATGTATAAGACGCATTTATAGAAATGTCCATGAAAAGAGTGTTGTTACTGTTACATGCTTGATCGTATATACATCATTTGTTTAATAAAAATAGGAATAAGGTAGCAGTGGAGTAAAAGTCAATTGAAACGAGAAATGATAATAAGTAGATTAAGTTTTTAGAATTGTCATTATTGAATTTACTTTAGAATCAGAATCTAAATGTAGAGAACTATGACGATGGATGTTGTTTTTACTGATGAGTGAAGTCTGGTGTGAGACCTACAAAAAAGTAGATAGAAAATGGGATAAAATAATACTAAGAAGAAAAGATGGCAGTAGTAAGTACCGCACTAAAATGGGAGAACTAGAGTAACATTCCTTACCCTCTCAAAAAGAATGAACCAATAGGAATGGTTCTTGATGTTTTTCTTCTTAGCTTAGGGCTTACCAATTTGGACCCATGCTGTCTTCCTTGTTAAATGTTTACCTTCTGATAAAGCTC